GGCAGCCACCAAAAAAAGGGGAAAAATCATTGGTGCCACTGAACAACAGAGGTTCACGTTGCCATGGAACCTGACGTTTCCGCCTTTGAAAGACGATGTTCCGACCATTTCTCTGGTGGGTTCCATGATAGTGCACAAGAGGGCAACATTCTGAGAAAACAACAAACTCTTGAAATTTGGTGCATGTGACTTCCTATGACTTGTTTGCTGAACGAATCCAACTTGCCCCATTCTCTTAAAGCACTTGAGAGCAGGGCTCTGAGAAATGGCCGATTCTGTGATACAACAAGGGAAATGGCCAAAGACTAAGCCAGGGACATTCCCAAAAGTATCACAGGAGTGGGGTAAACGCCCTTGATCCCACAACCCTTGAGAGTAAACGGGAACCTCCCACTTTCATTCGCCATTCGCCTATGAGCCCAATAGGCCCAAACACACCAGTTTGAGCCCTGGAGGTTCGGTTGCATGGAGATACCTTAGCCACGCTGCGGTCAAACTATGCTGTTCTCATAGGGAACTTGGGGCAACAGCGTAGTGTGAATTTCTTGTTTCGGTCGGGGCTGTCCAAATCAGGCCGTCGATTTTCCCACATGGCCAAAACAGACATGACCAGAGTTGGTTGCAGGTGCTGCCCGGCTTGGCTTTTCCTAAGCCCACTGTGTCTCCAAAAAGAACACCACCTCATCTCGGTTGACGTTGGAAGGGGAGCTAAAATTTAAGTTTTGGCAGTTAGGTGGTTGGATTTCAACCACTCAACCACAAGAAACACAAAAATGTCTGAAACATGTTTCTCAACAGCAACCATGATATATTATCAAGGTGTGACAGCAAAATGGGAAAAATGTAAAACCCAACGACAACCAGCTCATGGGAACCTCTGGTATGAAGCCCTGAATCCAACTTGCATATGCCGAAGCCCCCTGGGCCGCGGGTCCCAAAGTTGGCGCCACTTCGTCTTCCAGGTGCTACGGAAACCACAGAAACTGTGTCTTCCAGTCGCCATATCCCATTAAAGGCTGAAGGGAGTAATAATAATAATAATAGTAAAATGGCTGGAAGTCGTGTGGCAAGTCAGGATGATAGTGTGGGTAAATCTATCGAAACGGGGACTTGCGACCTGGAACGGCGTGAAAAAGAGGTCCTTCCATTTTCCGTGGCATCACCCAATAGGAGCCTTTACAAATCAACAGAATCAAGAAAAGTTGGGAGGGTGGGCCCTCTGTGCAACATGGCCGCCAGGAGCGCTCAACATGGGACCGCTCAACATGGGACCCCTCAACATGGGACCCCTGGCCTTCGAGCAATACGGTGCATTTGCAGAAAGCGCAGTAAGGCGGTGGTTGGTAACAGGTTGAGCATCCAGGGATACCAGGCCTGCTCCACCTTCTCTTCCCTGATGTAGCCTGGACTCTGCGATGAAACGAAGTGGTGTTCAATATCCATTCTTGTTGACCCCGCATTAACGACCCCCTGCAATAGGGGGTGTCACTGGCTTTAGTCGGGAATCATCACTTTTGGAGTGGAACGCCCCCGTATTAATAAACAGGGGCTGATTAATCCAGGGGGTTAACATTACACACTCTGGACTGAGAGTCCTTTCAGACAACTACCAAACAGAGTCCAACTAGGTCCTCCAGTAGAGAGGTTAGAATAAGGGTACCAACTTTTTTCTGTAGTCTATTTTAGTAGGGGAACCCTCCCACAAAAAAGGGTAAAAGGGTAAAAGGGCACTACTGGGGGACCTAGCCAAAAAAATAGGGCTCTACTATCTTTCTCGACATATAGAATGAGACAACTACTTCCCCAGCAGCCAGGCTGTGTGACGCACCCGAAGATTTGGACACCTAAAGATAGAAGCATAATTTGGGGAGTCAGGAAGCCACAAGCTTTCGTGAGTTCCAAACCCACCAAACAAAAAGCGGTTTCAAATTCCAACCAAACCAATCCAGACCAACTAATCCGCTGGGTTGCCCTGGGTTGCTCTTCCGAAAAGGTTCCATCACCTCGCCATTTGGACCACCAATTAATCACCTTTGCTTTTTGCTTCCGCAAAAGTTCCATCACCTTCCGTAGGTTTGATGGAAACGCCATTTGGACCACCAATTCATCACCTTTGTTTTTTTCTTCCGCACAAGTTCCATCACCTTCCGCAGGTTTGATGGAAACCGAAGTTCCATTTGCGTCCAAAGATCTCTCCGCGATTCGGTCCAACCGAATGGCTCTGTTCTTGGTTGACGTTGGAAGGGCAGCAAAAAACAAAACAGTTAAGCGAGATTTCAACCACTAAACCACAATAAGCAAAACTGCAAAATGTTTCCCAAGAACAACCATGGACAAAAGGTGGCTCTTTCATTTGGACCTGTGGCATTTGGCTTCCACCAAGTGATCTTCTTTCTTTGCAGTTCCGTAAATGGTCCTGTCGCTTGGGGAACATGCCAGGAACCATGTGTTAATAAACATGTTGCATCCCAATCCCCGGTAAAATAGGTTCTACAATGGGTGGTGCAGCTACCAAAATGGAACCCTCCAGCGTCTCAGCTCCGCTCCCCTGCCTTCCAGCTCTCGCTCCTCGCTCTCCACCGCTCCCTGTAAGCTGCGGTTCGCCTGATGCATCCGGCGCTATGAGCCACCCGCACAAGGCGAACTGGGGGGAACTCCTTGGCCGGCTGCAAATGGCGAGTGCCAATGGAAAGTGCAGTTCCAGTCTTAAACGTCTTGGGGTGAATTCTGCGAATTCACAGCAAGAAAGTGCAATGATCCTTGTGAGGTGTTTTATTGATTCACCAAACTGTGTCAAAGGGACCCCAAGAAGAAAAAACATCCTCATGGGTGAATCAGACGCGAAAAAAAACAACTTGGCGAAGTTGCTCCAATCTGCGGGAGGGTTTAGACTGTGAACAAGGGACAAACTCTAGTTTCCGAATCGATCAAAAGGCTGTGGCCCAAAAAACCGGTACCCAAAATGGAATTTTGGTAAGTGGACATATGCACCAAGACCTGCGGTTTGCCCCTCCGATCGGTTAATTTTGAGCCACACCCAAAAGGTGTTCTCATTTTTCGCCAGTCACCTTGGCGCTCACGGCCTTCGGGTTCCAAATGCTTGCTGAGCCAACGGACTCCCCAGAGCCTTGGAGTCCATTCCTTAAGCGAACGCCCGGTTTGCTGCTCATGCATCCACGATGCATAATATGTACACTGTACACACATTGGATCCCAGCAGGGGTCGGTATATACATGTATACATATATATATATATGTATATATGTACACATCGTTTTAACTTGCGCACATTCTACCCTTTTATGGATCTAAATTGTTGCCAACATTGCTGGAAACTCTCGAAAGCAAGACAATCAGCATTGGTCTAAAAGGCGATGTTTCATTTAAGTCTCGTAAAAGGCCAACCAAAAGGACGGCAAGCACAAGGAGAGTCGGTGGGACACACAACATTTTAGCGCCCATATGGGCATGTATTGTTTCGAGGGTACCCTTCTTAAGTTGGGTTGAGGCTCAACTTATTTTGACACATACCCAAATGGAAACACACATGGGTGGGTATCAAAATCAGGGCATGTCATCATTGGATGGAATAAAGTAATCTTATTAAACAGGTCCCAAAGGACCCGCCTGTACAAAACAGTTTGAAAAGACTGGAATCCAGGAAACCAATCGTTTTGCACAACAAAGAAGCATGTTTATTATAGAGGACCCCACAGAAAACCGCAAAAGTTAATGAGCCCCCCCCCCAAAAAAAAGGAACTGGTGAAGCAGATGCTGCCCTTTTTCCTCTCCTCAAACTGCTATCCCCTGCTCCATTTGTTTTGGAATGCCAAAGCAAACAAAACTGCCAGCTTTGAACTAGCAGTGCAATTTCTTGCTTAGCTCCTTTTCCAAAAGTGATGGGTTGAGAAGGTCACATTACCCCACAGCAGTGCCCAGCCCGTACAAATAACATGGGTCCCCATAGACACAATTGGGGCCATCCGCGCCCACTTTTGCGCTCCAGAAATACAAAATCAAATGGAAACTCAAATGCAACAAAACTGAATCAAACAAATAGAAGCTCAAATCATATTCAAGAGAAAGCTCCAGCAACTAGATCACATAGAAAGTCAAGTCCCGCAATGCTACATTCAAGCGGATACTCACCATCTCAAAAGAAGCTCCAGCAATACTATCAAGTATGGAGACTCAAATCCCAAAATACAAAATCAAACAAATGGAAGTCAAATGGGGTTGTCCAACAATAAAGTTCCCAAAAACGATTCTTTTGCCGCGCTTTCGCAGCTCTTTCGCCCTCACAGGAATTCAATGGGTCGGCATCTATGTGTTTTCGTTTAGGTCTTCGAAACAAGCCTATAAGGGAAACCCACAAGAGACAAAAAGACGCAAAAAGACCCGCTGGGCGACGGGTGGTCACGGACAGGCTCGTCTTTCAAGGGAGTCATGAATCCAATGTCCACATTACACCGAAATGGCGGCGTTCATTTGGTTTCGACCTAACTGGGACGCCTCCAAACATCAGACCCAGTGCGACACCCCAAATGGAGCCCACATGACCACCGCCCGAAACCCATTGACTTTTAGTTCCAGCGTGGTCGTTAAGCCTTATGAAGTCCCTACTCACTTCCTGCAGGTCAGAAAAAGTAACCAAACTTTCTGCTTACCACCAAAATGGTCTGCCCAAAGAGGCTTTTAAAGTCCAGGAACTCAGGAAGTGAGGTTATGTATATATATATATATATATATAAATTTTACGGCGCCCTCGGCTTGCGCCTCCCGGTGCTTCTGCAACTCTTTGGCCAGCGCCCGGCCCAGCGACGCCAGGTGCGCCTCCGCCTCTCGGGCGGTCGGCTCGGGTCTGGGGGAGAAACGTGCGCCGTGCGCCGTGCGCCGTGCACCGATTCGGTGGATTCGGCTGCCCTGAATATTACAAGGGTACCTGGAGTCTCCACGACCCTTTAAGAATTCTGTCATTACCCAGAATAATGGGGTCATGGACCTATCTTTAAAAGGTCATGGAGACTCCAGGTTGTCGTCATTGAGTAGCCCAGTATATTACCCATGGTTGGGAACACCTGGGGCCACTGAAACACTGGGAAAGGGACGAAGTGCCAACGTTCCCTTTGATTTAAAAACCTACGTAGACGCCAACAAAGCCCTTGTTGGAATCTTCTTTTGGGGACGCCCCTTGCGGGTTCCGTGTTCATCTGGGGGAGTAAACCATGTCTCTAGGCTCCTCTCGCATTCTCTTCGCAATGGTTGTCTATCGCTTCATGTGGGCGTCTGTGGTATGAGTATTTGGCAGGGGCACCGACCCTTGGACGACGAATGCATCGTTCTACATCCAAAAGGTGACTACTGGTTTTCAAGCAGTTGCGTGCAAACAAAACAGTCCAGGGAGGAGTCGAGTTTTGTACTTTCAGCAATCTCCAAACGGTTGTTTGCTCTCTTTGCCAGCTGCAACACTAATTGCATGGTTGACGTTGGAAGGGGAGCAACAAATTAAATGTTAGCAATCCATCGGGGATTTCAACCACTAAACTGCAAGAAGCAAAAATGAAAAAAACAATCCCAACGACAACCATGATTGAAGGATAAGATCAGCCAAAGCCTGGCCTCAGATCCGGCCGGCCGAGCTGCCAGATTTTGCTTCTTGGCATGCTGTGGTTCCAAGGCTTCGCATCGTCACGTTTGCTTCAGTCTTGATCATTGTTTGCGGACACGGAACGTTTTGAGTCGAATGTTGCCGGCGCTCAGTAGAGAATGACCAGGCTTCGGCAATAAACCATTATTTTTGTATTCCCAAACAAAGGACACCCAATCGGGGATGGTTAAAAAGAACAGGGCCATGCCATGTCTCCTTCCCTGCCCCCTCGAACCTGCGAGAAACCCTCGGGAGGGAGAGGCGGCACCCGCCTCCTGCGCTTGGCGCATGCTCTCCGCCTCCTGCGCCTCGAGCATCATCTGAGCGGAGGGCGCCTCGCGCCAGGCCTGCGTCGCCTGGGATGGAGGAGCTGCCAGAACTGGGCCCAACTGGACGCACCGCGTGAGTCGCAATCAAAAACCAAACCCGGTGTTAAAATGGTCCTAATCCCCGAACCATGCTTCAAGAATTTAGAAGGCGGATATCCGCAGCTGTTTCTGGTTGGGATCGTCCCTTACTAAACTTCATCTACCCCGGGTTTGAGTGTGACTCACCTCGTATTTTCAGAGCCTCTTTCATACCTGGTCAGCCTTAGAATATGGCATACATTTTAAGCCTTAGCATATGACACATGTCGGAAGAGAGCCCAGAAGATGGGTTCCTGGATGAGTTGGGAACCCGAACGAACCAATGTTCCAACTGGCAGTGTCATTCAAGAGAGTCCGCTTGCATCTCATTCCCACAGGAAGAATTGGTGGCAACCTATGAATCAACCAGAGATCTATGAATGTAGGCGCTTCCCATCTTCTACCTCTTGCCCAACACAATTATGTGCTATTATTACAATGTGAACATAGTCCAAACGAGATCCCAACGCCAATCAAATGGATTGATGAGTGACCTCGTGCTTGTTACTTTGGGGTTATTGGGCAGCCCTTTGGAGTAATGGGTTGAGAAGTGACCGCATTTGGTTTGTTTTGGTGTTGTGTAACAGCGGGAGCCAAAGACAAGTTAGATCTCGTGTGCTTGACATCTTGCCCCCTCGGCTATGTCCACTCCTTTACGCGCAAACGGAAAGCCGAACGGCTTCTCCCCGTTGGAAGGAACCCTTTGTGCGTGGCAAACTCAAACCGATTGCCTCCTGGTCACCTTTACTCCTCGTTTTGACCCCCTGAGGCCCAGCAACATACATGAGGCGCAACAAGTTGAACATGTCCAAGCCGACGAACGTTTCTTGCCTCTGCCCCCTTGGCTCCCTACTGGCACTTCCCGTGTCCCGCCTCGTCCACGCTGGACTCCAACCAAAGAAGATCCGCATCGAACTGCTCCGCCTCCTTCAAGCATCTGGAAACGTGCCATGTGCCAGCCCCTTTTGTTTTTCATTCCTTTCCTACCTGAGCTGACAGACAGACAGACAGACAGACAGACAGACAGACAGACAGACTGACTGACTGACTGACTGACTGACTGACTGACTGACTCACTGACTCGCAGACTCACAGACTCACAGACTGACTGACAACTGTCTCCGACCCACAAAGGCAAACAATATAATGTGCAACTTGTGACACGAGCTGACAAACTGACTGACAAACTGGCTGGCTGACTGAATGACTAAATTTGCAATTATCCAACGCATGTTGCCTATTGGTTTTAAAGAAACAAGTGCAGTGCAAATCCCTGAGACAGTAAATCAAGGAATGTCAAAAACAAACACTTCAAGGAAACACAACAGTAAGTAACAAACTAACCAACTAAATGAATAAATAAAAAGACTTAATAAATGCGCACATGCAACAATAAAACAATGAATCTTCTTTTTTTTACAAACACACACACACACACACACATAAGCCACCAAACAAAACAAGGCATAACTAAACCAATCAACCAAACATGCACAATTAACTAACCAGTTCATGGAGCCATACAAAGATACATCCGTAAAGGAACCTGAACACGGGGGTGACGGGTCACGTGTAGTCTGGCTCCTGTGCGCTGGTAACGTGGATGTGCATTTCGAAACAAGCGCCGTGGGCTGTTTTAGAGGAGAACCTGCCTGGAGATGAAATCCCAAAGAGGCCTATTTTGACCGCAAGAGAACTCTGGCAGCACGGTGACTTTTTGCTTGGGTCATGTCTGAAACGATCAGTGCTCAGCCTCACCTCCTTGGAACACAAATAGAGAAGACACTCCACTGGAGCCCTTTGCAATACCATGTTCTTTGTCAAGGGCTCTTTACTCACATCCTGAGAGGACTCGCCAAACATGTCTAGCATTTTGTCCACTACAAGTGTCTTCACCAAAACACATTTACCGGCCGGACACTGTGTGAATGAGTCACGGAATCCAGGCTTGCGCCCTTAGGAACTTCCTAACTTTGGTGCATCTGCCCCCTTGCCCACTCTAGAAAACCTTAATGTAGAAGAAACGTGATCTTCAAGCATACAGACCCGGAACTCTGGAATCAGAGAGAAAGGTTCCTGAAAAATGAACATGAGCAGCACTGGACGAGCGTGTCAAATTAAGCCGGTAGTAAACTGGTCGAGAGGCAAAACAGCTGAGTTGTGAGAAAGCTGGGCTGCCTTGAAAACTGTAGCGGTCCTTGGAATTGCATGTGCACACATGTCTCTGTGTGCAGTCGCCTGAGCCGCCAATTCAGAAGTGATCTCAAACTTGACAACGTGCCAAAACGAGTGGGACCCTTGCGGGACGCTTCAAGAAAACCAGCACGAAAAAACCGGCCATCTGGAGGGCTGCGTAGTTTTAATCCATGTCTACAAGCTCCAATGGGTGATCTACATATTGCAAGTAGGGGAACAAGGGAAACCCAGGAAGGTTGCAAACTTATCAGGGTGGTGTGGTCCAATGTGGTTGGTTCTCTATGTGACCCCAAGCCTCACTTAGAAGGAAGCAGACTCCATTTAACTGTCTTCATGACCCTTTAAATACGGAGACATAACCCCAAAATTATGGGTACATTGTGCCAATACTTAAGAGCTATGAAGGCTCCAGGTGTGCAAAAACGGACAACATGTAATTAGTTGATGCTGGTTGAGAGAACATGGGTGTCATTTTGAGAAACAACTACGCAAATTCAACAATCATTTCCAACAGATCTCCGAAGGACCTTCATCATGAGCTCGTGTTTACCCCGGATCGGTGGGCTCGCCTTAAACTTGGTTGACGTTGGAAGGGGAGCAACAAATTGAACTTAGCAATTAAGTGGGGATTTCCCACTAAACTGCAACAAGCAAAAATGTAAAATGTTTCCCAACGACAACCATGCATGGGCAAGTGGATCCCAAGATCTTGCTCCCGCCCTTGCAGCCCGTCCTTCTGAAGCTGGTGCTTCTCCTGGGAAAGCACCAAGCTGGGCTGGTCCCAAGCCTCTAAACTACAAATTCAACCAATCAGGAGACCGCTGAAGAATCAGAACCCGACACTTAGTAAAATGTTGCGGCCCGTGTTGGCAAATGCCCACGGGGTTGTAGCGAAGCAGGTCATCTCATCTGCCTTAACACGGGTTCGCCAAGCACTTTTGTTGCGAGGGGGGGGGGGTCCTGTAAATCCAGAAAGCAGGTCAAAAGAAGAACTCTGCTTCCAGCCTTCTGATTTCCAATGTTTTTGGGGAGAGCTTTATGAACGACCAAAAAACATATCAAAAAATCAATGCTTGCTTCCAGCATGTCCAAGGTTGCCCAAGATGTGTGCTGTGTGTTACAGTGTTTTTGAGGCTACTTGATTTCCAAAACTGATTCAGAATCTGGAAGTTCATGGCCTATCATGTTCCATAGCCACCAAAGTCAACCGCACCGGTTTTCGTGCTCCGACATCTGCAGATGTTCCAAGATGCATATCTCCTTCTACCTAAAAGCAGGAGGGAGCTTGGAGTAGGTATCTTATTTGACAATTGTGGGTTTCCTGTTGGAGGTAAGCTGATGTACTTGGGCAACTTCAATTGCGAACTAGGGGCTTTGACTTGTGGAAGGCTTCCTTCATGGCCAAGCTTCCTACTTTGGGAATCCTTACTTCAGGTATTTGAGTTTCCCCTTGGCCCTTTTTCCCCATTATTTTCAACCATCGTTCCATTAAAAAACCATCCCATTTCCAGAAAGAAGGATCCCTGGAAAGAATGAGGAAGCTAGAGTTTTGACTGGGCGAAACGAAGCGACAGCGCAAAACGGGCCTCTTGGAGGGCCTCCTCCAGGTCTTGGGCCGCCTCCTCCTGGAGCCACAAGCCGAAGCTATGCTTTTCACGACGAAAAGTGCAGACCCTCCCAGCATGGAGTCCTCGTTTGGTTTCCATTTAAAACCATTCAAAGGGCATTTTCTCATTTAAGATCACTCAAAGGGTATTTTCAAGAAGATACTCCCATCTACGCCAACGCAATGGGAAACGGTCGTGGCCCTTGCTGCTGCATGGCTCCAAAAGCGCTGGTCACTGGCTATATACATTCAACTCCAAGTGAAGCCAGCGCAACGCAACCTAAAAGTGACCAGTGGCGTTTTTCGGGGCCATCAAGCCCCAAAACCCCGCGCCCTCCGTCGGCACAGTGATCAGTTCAGCGTGAAGCCCTGAGCGTCCGCCTCAGACATTTTTTGCCCTCTCACTCTATGTGGCTACGCCTAAAGACTCGTCCACCCTGAGCCCCTACCAATCGGAAAGAAAGCTGGCACGAAGCTCAGCTCGAGTCGGAGCTGCGCGTGTCCAGGATTGTCATGAAGAAATGGCTCAAGCAAAGGTCACACTTTTACTCATTACATGTTCTGTTCGCTCGAGAGACGCCACCAGGAGTCGTCCTTCTGAGTGGCAATTGCAGAAAGGCACTTTTGCGGCAACGCCGCGATCCGGTGCCCGGAAATGCGCCGGATTCTGGGACAGCGTGCGTGGGAAACTACCGGGTGAAAACTTTCGCAACTTGCCGCTTGCTCTCTTTGCCGCTTTTGTTCAATTTTCCAGGTTGGTGGCGAAGCGAGCGAGATGGTCAGCAAGGGCGGGCAGGCCTGTCATACAGATTGCTCGCGTTGCGGAGGCTGTGCCAGGACGAGAAGTTTTCTCCGTGGCACTATCCAGGCTGCAAAAATACCTCAAGATTTCACTGGCAGAAAACGTTTAAAATTGATCTGGCGAACTTGAGTTGAGCGTGGGAGGAGCAGCCGGCTTCGCGTACGTTTTTACTTCACGCAGCGGGACGCGATTCCGTTCCGCGCGTGTCTTCTTGAAACCTTCGTGCGCGCCAAACATCTTCTTTGAGGGCCGCTCTGCAAGGGCATCGTTCCATTCCTTAGCGTTGGCGTTCTCTCCACTGGCGTTAGCGTTCGTCCTGTGCTACGTGCACAAACGCACGGGTGGTTTGAACACTGTACATGCGAAGCCTGCCGCGCAAAGCAGGCTGCTGAAACTGCAAATCAGAACAAGCGGGCCAGGCCGAGCCAGTGACCTCCCAGCCGTGCTTGCGAGAGCTTTTTGCAGCCCCCAAAACCAACAAAAACAAGGTTCCTTTTTGTTCCTTCCTGGCCACTGAACATCCGAGGGTGAGGGACATGAACCGCCGCGGTTGAATGCCCCAAGAAGGGCGCCGGAAGTTCCACAGTCAAACATTTTTGCCACAGTCAGTTGAATCACATTTGCAACAGAAGTGCTCAAGTGCACGCAGCGCCCGCCAACGCAGACGTATGCAGATTTACCCGATCTCGCAGAAGCAAACGCAGCAAGAGCAGTTGCCGGCGCTGCCCCTCATCCTCATGAAGGATCGGAAGTGATGCCGTCAAGCAATGCCCACTGCTACCAGAGGCAATGCCAACGTGAGAGGAGGAACAACCAGACGCATGGTCAGCGCCGTGCTGATGCCACCCAAGCTTTGACCATGCGCGTCGGCGCGGGCTGAGACACAAGCTGGGTGGCCGGAACTGTGCTGCCCCTGAGTTTGCTCCTCCGCTTGACGCTGCTGATGCAAAGTGGGTGGCAAGGTGCGTGGCCAGTTCGGCGCAGGCTCCTCTGGTTGCTGCTGCTGACGCAAGGCGGGTGGCTGGTTTTTGCGCATGCTCCTCTGGTTGCTGCTGATGCAAGGTGGGTGGCCGGTTCTGCGCAGGCTCCTCTTGTTCCTGCTGCTGACGCAAGGTGGGTGGCTGGTTTTGCGCGTGCTCCTCTGGCTGCTGCTGATGCCAGGTGGGTGGCCGGTTCTGCGCAGGCCCCTCTGGTTGCTGCTGCTGACGCAAGGTGGGTGGCTGGTGTTGCGCATGCTCCTCGAGCAAAAAACCTCCATACAAACTTCGAACACTAATTTAGTGTTGCTCCATACAAACTCCATACAAACTAGTTTTGTGGTTTGTGTGGAGTTTGTATGGATGAGGTCCATACAAACTAGTTTGTATGGACGTCCCAGTTTAAAAGCTCCATACATACTCCACACAAACAGTTTGTATGGAAGCACAGCTGGGTGTCTGGCTTCCTTCAGAGCCTGTCAAACACCAGATGTGGCGCAAAGGAAGCACACAATACAGGTTGAGCGGAACAGTGTCAGCAGCAACAGGTAGGCACAATTCCGCCATGTGAACCATGGGCCTCGCCATCTTTGATGCGGCGACGCATCCTCCGCGAGTTGTCCTGCCACAGACCCATCAAAAAAAGAGAAAAAAACAAAAACGTGCCTGTGGAGCAGTCGTCGGCTACCGAAGCAGCACATTTGGAGGACAGCCGCCCACCTCGCCGCCTCGCCTCTGGGGTTCTCGGTTGAGGGATGCCACGTAGCAGCTCCTGACACACGAAATCATCACAGAAGACATGGGACGGCGATAGTTTGTGGTTGAGATGGGGATGGTGTGCGGGTGGCCATGGTCGCACCTGTCATGGGCCCACCGACCATGAAGCGTGGCAGAATTTGAGGAAGCCTCTGGGGTGGGTTAAGCCTCCTCGCGGGCCACCAGCAGATGGAATGTGCTGGGTGCCTCCTCTGGAGATGGCATAAATGCACAGGCGAACCGGTGATGGATCTGGAGTTGACCCTGTGAGAACACTCACGATCGCGCCTCTGGAGTCGATGACCCTGATGAAGGAAGATGCCAATTCTCATAATCAGTTGCGGGACACAGCCCAACTGACAACATGTCAAATGTCAAGACAGACCAGTGGCCTCAGGGCCCAAGTCAATGGCGCAGTGAGAGCCAACCTGCGCTGGCCAGAATGACCAAGTTTTTAGTGTGAGCAGTCCTGCCTCTGGGTCAAGGTCAAAACAATCAGGGTCCAAGTCAATGGCACAAGAGCCAACCTGCACTGGCCAGAAGGCCAACTTCCCACTGTGACCAGTACTCAAGGTCAATGGTGATGCGCACGAGCAAACCTGATGATCGGCCACTTCACATGGAATTTCCCAATTCGGTTTGCACCCCATGAGCTGCTGGATCAATGAGAAAAAGCACATGGGCGACATCAAAACACACCAGCTAATGGCCTCAGGGTCCAGGTCCATACCACACAAGAGCCAACCTGCACTGACCAGCCGGCTCAGGCTGGTCCAGTTCTTGCTCAGCACGGCTGAGACGAAGCCGCAAGTGACAGCGCGCGAGCTTTTTGTGAGAAATCTCACAAAAAATGGGGGCCCAGGCATGGGTCTTTGCCACTGGCGACCATGGCGTCAGTCCTTCTGCCGTAGTGCCAAACTCGCAAGCTCGCGACTTGCGCCTTGCGTGGGGTTCAGGCACCAGATGCCACACATAGTTTACGCCCCTTCCCCTGATTGCAAGCTGATTGACAGTGACTGGTGGCCTGCTCGTCAGGTTCTGAGCACCGTTTTCTTTTGCGAATCAATCGGGCCCCTCCAGTCGCATTGAGCCACATCCTGAACGTGTCATGATGTGCTACGTCGTATCGTTTTCCTTACGCGACAGATGTGGAAGCTTTGCTTACGCCGCCAGCTTACGCCACCTTACGCGCGTGGAGTTTTTGTTTACGCACAGGTCGATATGACACGACTCTTAATTAAACATGCCCAATCAGGTTTTTGGACGCCGCTCCATTTGCACCCAACACTGGGCTCAACGCCGCAGTCTTCGGCGGCTCAAATCAGGGGACGCTGAAATTATCCAGGCAAAAGGACAGAACTATGCCAAACTCCCCCACCTCATGAGCAACTCTGACACCTCCCCGACCAAATGAGCAACAAAACTTAAACAGGTTGCTGCAAGTTCATGTTTCAAGCTCAAGCGAAGCCTCTGCAAGTTTTCATGCGCAAGCTTAGCATCATGCTTTACAACCTCTCCTGTCAACTTCTGTTACGCCAGATGCTGTGAATGAAAGCTGTACGTGATGCTGCGCGTGACGCTGCGCCTTTATGTTGCGTGCGCAACTGCGGAAGCGGGTCGAGCCCGCGCCATCCGTGACTGAGAAAGCAGGCTCTCAAACGACGAGACAACCTCCACACACACGCACACACACAAGTTTGCCTGCGAAGAAAACAGCAAACATCGCATGATGGCCACAGCGACACCCGCTTCGACACGCGCGATCTCCGCAGAGCGTTTGCCGAGACCTAGAGACATTCGCGCGGCGCCTTGGACGCGCACGATCGCTGCAGAGGGTGCGCTTTCAGCGTGCGATGCTTGCAGATGAATCGTGCGCCTGATACGAAGCTTCGTGTTCTGGGCCTTTTGCCCGGGCGCGAATTCTCTATCCGGGCAAAAGGCCCAGGAGTGAAGTTTCATGCATGACACGGACGCTACAGACCGCGTTTTGAGCCCATCAAAACAGAGCTTCTTACCAAGTTAACAAAGGCCTAAACCGATCGCCCTAAAGGGCCTGCATCACGTGAGTGAGCACTCCGGCCCCTGATCCTGCAAATACAGAAGAAAAACAATCCATCTGGAGGTCCCCGTGTTGTTTTTCTAGAGCCATGCCCTCTCCTCCGCCCAGGCATCTTGCACCCGAGCTTCTACCTGGCGCAGGATTGGGCTTCGATGTTGGCATATTCCCGGTTCTTTCAGGCAAAAGTGGCTAACCAGACACAGTCAAATGAATTCATCACGTGCAACCTAGAGAACAAAATGCCAAAGGCTTGCCTAGCATAGGAGCGAAACGCGCGCTTGAGGGAGCCCTTTTCTGGGGGCTGGGCGTTGGCCATTCAGCTTGCGGTGAGACAAACCAAACGCCCGGAAGCACTGGAAGCACACCTCGGCGTCAGCGCGCTGCCAGTCGGCGGTGCGCTTAGAGCGGAGCTCTTGCTGAAGCCGCACCTGTCGAATCGGACAGTGTTTCTCAAAATGGAGGAAGAGCCCTCACTGCCCGAGTGGATGGTCCAAAACAAGTCCAAACTTTTACCAGTACAATGGTCTTCCCAAAAAGTTTAAAGTACATTCACTCAGGAAGTGAGAACCCCTTTGGGTCAGCAATCAATCAGAAGCCGAAAGGAGAACCATTTTAAGGGGACCACTATCCTGAAAACTCCAGGTGTCAAGGCGGTCTGCCCCAACCTGCACTATCTGGGACCGAACTGAAGGCAGACATCTGCGCCTGTTTTTGTGGCTGGGACCCTCTCCGAATCTTCCCTTTTGGTGTTGATTGCTCAGGTACGCCACATTCTTTGCAGCCCTTTTGCCCCTACCAAGGGACCCCCCAAAAAAAAGCACAACAAATGCCTCAAGTGCCTGAGTTTTTCTAGGCCGAGAAAGGCTCCCACAATTTGTCACAGCATGTCCCTTCCAAACTTCAAAGGCGTGTTCCTTTCGAGCTCTAACTGATAATAACCAACTTTTGTTCACCAAACAATGGCCACCTAAAACCAGAAGTTCGAGCTGGGCACACTGCCCACTTAAGTCGTTTGCGATAATTGTTTAGTGTGTTTCCTAATTATTCTTTCCAGGCATCCTTCATCAACCGCAAATAACTCAGGACCATCCAAGAAAAGGGACCTTCATCTTTTTCACCCCGAGGCAGCGAGCTGATCAAAACCGAATGCCTGAAAAGGGACCTTCATGGGGGGACATAGGTCAGCCTTGCATGTGAGACAACAGCAACAATTATGGCCAAGATTCCTTCCCAGGACAGATTGGCAGCGGGGGGGAGCAAACTGTCACTGGATCTGGGGTTCCCCCTTCCAAAGCTGATCACTTTGCCAGTGCATTCCAGCGCTTTGTTGCCACTTTCGGCAACAAGCATTTCTAAGAGAACACACCCAGTCTGACCCGACGCTCATGAGGGCACTAGCTCACTTTACCCCACGCTCACAGGTCCTCGCTAAAACCGTGCAAACGGCAGTTTTCGCGCAACAACAAAGCTTGAAACATAGTTCCGGTCCACGGCAAATATGTTCAACAATATATTTGGCGAACCTGGAAGTGCGGACAAATACAACAACCCATTTGTTGAACAACATCCTGTTTGTTTTTTGGTGAACCTTGAAGCTGTGTAAGCAAAACAGCAAAGCCACACAACTCCAAGCCGTCATGGTTTGCCACGGTCCAAGCCAGTACACTGCCCAAAAACTCAGGGAGCAGGGCTACCTACTAGAGTGACAATTTGAAGTACTGGTTGGGGGGGTCGGGTTTGATTTGGAGGGTTTTGTATCTTGTATTTAGAGTTAGTTTTTTGTTTTGGGGTTGGTATGGGCGGCTTTGCTGGCCTTGGAGTGTTTTGCTCCAACAGCGTTGTGGCTTCTTTGTTGGCACTCGGGGTGGTGCACTCTTGAATCTGCATTGGGCTTTCGGCCGAGAAAAGAAAGCTGCCGAAAAAAAGACGAGCCTTCTCTTGGAGCGTCTGGGTCTCCCGCTGCACCGCGTCCTGCGTCGGTTCCACAATGAAAAACCGGGCACAGAAAAGGTGGGAAAAGCCGCTGCTGTTAGCACAAAAAAGCAACGCATCGGGGCAAAAAGTGATTGTTGAAGCAACAACCGGTGGAAATGAACTGCGATTCAAAAAACAGCATACAAGTGGAAAACGGTTGCTTGTTTGCCGATTCAAAGCACGACAACGCAACAACGCATCCGCAAAATGAACCAAACGAAGCCGAGTTTGTCACGTCATTTGAAAGGGAACCCTTCAAAAAACAGGGAAGGAAGCATGGCATGTGTTGAATTCAGCGACTGTTGTAATTGCCAACTTGGGCCTGACAAACATACAACATGTTGGAACAATTTGGAATACAGACCTACACTCGGTCTCTCCTAAAAGGCTGTGCTGGGTCTGCCCAGATAAGCTCCGGAGTGGTTCGGAACGGCGGAACGGTTGGGATTTCGGAAGGGTTCCGAGGGCTGCTGGAGCTTCTAGTTGCAAGGGTGGCTAGATGTGAAGCAGAATCTTACTGGGGTACAAGGTCCTTGCTTTTGACAATGCGCGCTCATACTATAGGGAAGCAGTCTAAGCTCGGAAAGGATAGCTCCGCCCCGCCCAGTGACCTGAGTAAGGGGACCATTTATGGCGTTGACCAGAGCCAGAGCCCAAAGAAAGCTGCGTCTACACTCCTTTCCCTCAAGAACCGCCTGAGCCCAAGGGTTGACTTTTTCGCGAAGCACGAGCTCACTGCCCAGACTCTGGGGTAGAAAAGCTGGCTGATGAAAGGAAGCCATAAAAGAAAGAGGAAAACCAACAAGCCTTCTACCCAGGTCATCTTGGGCCCTCCGCTGGGATCCCACGGCTCAACCGCCAGAGTCCGGCCGTTCGCGGGACCGTCCCAAGAACAACCCAAGCAAATGACTGGAAACCAAGGGGGTTTCCCCAGAAAGGTTTCTGGCTGTTAGGTGCCCAACATGGAACCCTGGTAAATGGAATGGACTAAAACCTGCGGTCCAAGAGGGTCAGAAAACTTTGACCCATACCCATGTCTGCTTAGCCTTCAAATAAAACAAAGTTTTCTGAGACGCCCCCGCAGAGTACCCTTCTGGGAAATCCAAACCCAAGAAAACCGCCCAGCAACGTTTCTGTCCATCTTCTGGTCAGCTCGCTGGAAATCCGCGGCGGTCTTGGCCGCCCAGTCCTGTCGGCGGCAAATGAGCCCAAGGAGACTCCGAGCCAAAGTGTTCCATTCAGTGGCTCATTAAAAACAAAAACAAAAAACACAAGCTAGGGTTCATACCAGGGGTTCATATTGGGTGTGCATTTAATCTTTGACACTTGGTAGGCTGTGACCCCAACTACACTGCGAGTGGAACCTAGTTGCTTATTACAGCTACTTGGTGGGTCAAACATCTAATAACCCGCACCCCTCCATTTGCTTGAGGAACCGCGTACTTAGAATTCCCGGCAACCATGTCAAGTCATGACCAAATATGGTTGAAGTGATAAAGTGAGAAACAAAACAGCACTTACATGGCTGTGGGTCAAAACTGTTTTGGGATCCCATTTTGGTTGGTAGGTGAATTCACCACCCATTTTAGAACCTTTTTTAGTGGTTGGATTGAATCGGATGTTCACTGGGGGCTAACCGATTTGGATTTTGAAAAGCCCACGGCCAGAGCCACCCTGGGCGCACCTTTCTCTTTTCAGGTCGTGGCACCCGCCCACCGCTGGTTTCTTTGCTCCCCTTCAAAAGCTCCCGAAAAGGACCAATGGCGCTCGACCAAAGCTTGGCCCAGGCCTTTGGATCCGTCCGGCGGAAGGGTTTCCACGGAACGCGAAGAGGACACCCACGTTTTGCCGGGTCAAGATAGAAAACCACACACCCCAGCCGGTCAAAAACAAGCGGGGATTCAAGCTAGAAAAACCACATGCCACACCCCAACTGGTCCAAAACAACAAATAAGTGCAAATAGATCTCCATGTGCACATAAATTGCAAGCCTGTAGACGTAGCAGGCTACAACTATGCCTATCTGGGCCCAGCTGAGCTTGCGCCCCACTTGCGAACACCCGCAATTCTCAACCTTGAGAAGGGTACCAACTCCACAACAAGTCATGCTCTACTGATTCAGTGGGTTCTTCATTTCCTTGGATTCACTTTCCGGACAAATGATTGGGAGCAAATCTAAATCCAAGGAGATCCTCCAAATCCACCAGCTGCTTCTGCAGCCTGTGCGCGCGCTTCGGATGTCAATCGGGGAACAAAAACAGCCAAGTTGATTGAAGTTTGGCTGAACCTGAAGGCCAAACTGAGGAACGAACAACGAAAGGTCAATGTCCTTCGGACGAAGATGTGAACATCCGTTTGTTTGTTTGTTTGTTTGCTTGTTTGAGCTGCCCACCCTCCCAACTTGGAACCGGAAGAGGTCTGTCAGTAGGGAATTCAATTTTGGAGGCTTGAAGAAAAGGGCCACGACCCTGGCCACGCCAGGCTCCCCACCCCATTCCATATTCGACAACCCGATTTGTTTTGCGGTGTTCCAAAGACCTTGGTACATGTGTTTACCGATTGCCACCGGTTCATCCACTTAAACATCACGATGCAATAGAGTTGGACCACCTCAAAGCGCAAACACCCAACAAAGCTAGCCCAACTTCAGGCCAAATGGGTCAAAGCAAACATGTTGAACGCCACAAGGCAAGAATGCATCCCCCGCTGGACGTTCGATGTTTGCGAGGCTTGCTGCCCAGTTGGCCGTGGGTCAAAAGCCAAATCGTACGACCAACATGGGTGGTGCACCTACCAACCAAAACGGGATCCCAAAACGGTTTTGACCACCACAGCCAGTTGACAACCACCCCGAAGGCTTGTCCAACAGCATATCCCAGCTTGCTAGACCTATCAGGCTACACTTCCCAACCCGTATACGTAGGTTAGCCACACACTGAGTGTTTGAGCGCGGGCTGAACGGTTGGCCCGGTCTCTTTTCCACTAGTGAGAAGGAAACAAATGAATCCTCGAGGCTAGAAATCCAACAGTCCCTGTTCTCAAGTCGACTGGAAACTGACTGTGGGATAGCTCCCCAGCATGGGATGTTCAACCTCAGTTGCATCCACTCAGTTGCCCTTTTGGGACCTGGAACTAGGTTAACCTTTGAGACTAAAAACAAAAACAAAAAACAATATGGGTGTGGCTCAAAATTAAACAGGAGGGGCAAACCGCAGGTTTTGGTCCATGTTTCCACTTACCAGGGCTTGCGCCATTTTGGAATTCTGTTTTTTTGAGCCACGGCCATATGGGAACACCGTTCAGGTTGTCCAAAGGTCGCTTCGCTTTGAACGGCTGAGTTAGTTACCACCTCGGAGCCCAGGATCGCTTTGACACCGTGGGATTGCCGGAAACAAACGAAAAGTGACTGGCCCCAACAGTTCGGGCATTCCAAGCTACAACCCTACAAACCACCACATAGAAACAACCACGTGCCTCAAAACTGACAAAACAAACCCAAGTTAAATGTGCGTGTGTTGTTGCCCTGCTTCGAATTTAAACCTACCCCGCTAAACCCGACAACAACAAAAAAAAACTCAAAATGCCCCACGCGCACACAGGCGGGGGAGCCTCTGAGGCTCCTCCGCCTGAGACAAGCTCTCCGCCGCAAAGCGCTCCTGACGCAATTTCAAGGTGCCATCAACTCGGATGCCCAGTGGATTTCCATGGGATTTCCATGGGACAACAAGGGCATCTGAGTTGATTGATGATGGGAGTTTGTGGAGAATGTCCATGGAAAAAGGCATTTGTGGTTGGGTCCGCCACATTGCTCAAGACCCCACCCACCCACCCCCAATTGGAGTGAGTGGAGCCCACATCCCGGCCGAAGCCAAAAGTCAGGCTATCCCGCTAAGGGGAGGGGCAAAGTATGAACTAAATCAATAGGCAGGAGGATGTGGTCAGCATCCTCTTGTGGCTGGTTGAATTTGAAGGGAACCCTTCCCCAAAAAGGCAAAAAAAAACTGGGTCAAAGACACCATTGGACCCGCGCGAAGAAAACTGGGCTGCCCAAGCTGATCCCGCTGAAGGTGGAACACTTTTTAGATCTTTTTAGTGGGTTGAATGTAAACCATCTCAAAGACACCCTCAGAGGACAAAACCACATGGCGTCAAAAAGGAACCCTCAATCAAGGACGTCCTCGTTGATGAGAGCTTGACACTTGCTGCTTGCTTCGTACATAATCGGAAAACATCGTCGACAGCAGATTGTGACAAAAACAAACTGCCTCGATCTCATGATGACACCACTGCCATGGCACGAACCATGGCAGAGCCTTCCCTGTATCTTCCATGACGTAGCCTATGCCGTAAGGTGCACCAAATGGCAACCCTTTGGCTAGCAAAACTTTAAGACTACCTCAACAACCAACGCATATGATTGATTCCGACCCAGATTTAGTGAGCCTTAAACACATGTTGACCTGACTTGAACAAGGGGAGTAGAATCAATTGGATCAAGGGGAGCTTCCGAACATGGCGGACCCCAAAATAAGTTGGTATTTGAAGGGAACATAAAAAGCTCTATTTTGAGAAACAGCCCACATCCCAGAACAATGTAAGGTGGCACCTGTCATTCGTCGAGACCCACAAAGGGGGGCCCAAGCTGATACGTCTCCCGCGGGGTCCCGCGGAAGACTATGTACTACCAACTCACCTGTCGCAGCGAAAAGGGGAGAACCGTAGTAGCCTTGTTTTGCCTGGTTGAACCTACAAGGAAGAAACAAAACAATGGGTGCTGGCTTCTTCAAATCGAAGGGAAACGCAGCCCATTCCCACACACGCCTGGGAACTAACATAGACACGCACACATTATATTGAATAGCCCTTGCGCCCACAAAAAATGGCATTGTACTTAGAGGGTTGCTTTGGGAAGTACGCCCCTCTCTTCCGTATACTACTGAGTGGGGATAACACACTGTTCTCGTCGCAAGCCTCTTACCTACCACAGAACCAAATTATCATTCGTGTTGGAAGAGCTCGGCACGAAGTACCACATACAGTTGGAATCCTTGGTGGTCAAGTCGCGAACCCATCAAAGAAGGGAAAAGCCCGGAATCCAGTTGAAACAGCGGGGGGAACAAATGGGAATCAAGTTGGAGGAATGGATTTGGGTGCCACCAGGAACAACAAGCAGAAACACCAGCCCGCGGACACGCCTCAGCCTCTGTGTCGGACAGCCGGGTCCGGAGCTCCAAGTGCTCACGCCGCACCGCTGCGAGCCTTTGCTGCTCCTCCTGCGAGGCCAATCGATGCGACAACCTCAACTGATATGACTGCGGGTCCACTATAGGGTAAACCTCAAATGGAAGCCTGATAAAAGGAAAACCTGCGGTTCCCTGGTAGTTCATTTTTTGACCCATACCCATATTGCGACTGTACCAGTGTCTTTGAGCATCGCTCCATTGAACCTTAGGGCTTATCCTGCAAAGGATAGAATGGGAGGAACCCAAAGATTCGGATGGAGTAGTCCCGAAAACAGGGATTTACCGTGGAAAACCTGGTCTCCAAATACCCTGAAGGATTGTGCCCATGAATTCGAACAGTTGACGCTTCTACTTCGACCCCGAACCGGTTGTTGGGCCACCATGTTAGCATCCATGGGCCTAAACGGTTTCATAGCCGCGAAGGCTAGCATTGGCCCTGTTGAAGCTGTTGGTTTCTGAGGAACTGCATTGAGCTACTGTATGTATGTCGGAAAAATGATAAACCGAAAGGTAAAGTGGGGCTCAAAAAATGGCCGTGGGTTGGACATACAGGGTCCACGCACTGCAAGATTTCGAGTGTTTACAAAGCAAAAGGAAACCACGGGGAGTAATATGTAAACATGCCCATTGCTGGAAGTGCACTTGTCGGTGGATTGTTTACTGTAGGGGATAGGCAATCTTTGTCTAGCTGTGATGCACTGGTTCCAACATACCTAAGGCACATAGCTAATCCCAAGCAGCCGGCTGTAACCATCTGAAAACTTTGACTCCCAAGCAGGGATCCTTACATTATACACCTGAACATTGCCTTGTAGATGGTGGTTTCCCTTTACTTTGGTGGAAAAAGCCATGTTTCAAATGGGCAAAATGTATCTTCTAAGGAGCCCTGCCAAGTAAAGGAACCTTTTATCGTGGTGAGCGCGTTCCCCCAGGTGAGCTCTGACGTTCAGCCCGCCTGCAACAGCTGCATGGGTACGAAGTCGGAGCGCAGCAGGGCCTCGGTGAGAGAAAGCAGGTTGCAACCCAAGCAACACAACTGAGACGAGGGTTGTGAGAGGCTTCCCCAATGAGCACAATCAACATCGATTCGGGTAGATGAAGGTTAAGAGACGGTCCCAGACAGAAATAGCTGCGGCCGCCTTCTTAATTCTTTATATACATGGTTCTGGGTCAACCATTTTTATACCGGGTTTTTGAAGCCGGCCAATTGGCAAATCGCCGGGGGTTCAACCTGTTCACCTCAAACATATTTAGCGACAAATCGTCCATAAGGGAAGCATGCAGAAATCCGAAGTCAGCATGGAAGAATCAGGACCTTCTGCCCGGCTGGAATGAACTTTTGGGCATGAAAGCCAAGGGCTTCGTGTCGGTTCATTGAAATAAGCACAGCCTAACGGATCCAAAATACCATTTAAGTAACCAATCTTGCATTTGAGGGGTGGGTTGCTTGCTTCAAGCCACAAGTGGGCAAATCAAAGAGCCCACTTAAAAACGGAAACCCAAGCGGAGTCGGTTGGAAACTAATGCTTGGAGGAGGCAGTTAAATGCAATGAGAAGGCAGATATCTGGATTTCTTAGATTGCCCACCTGACTATTATATACAGTACCCTCAAAATTGTGACTTCCTTCTCCAGTGGAAAAGGAGACATTGTGTAACATGGCTAATTGGCTAGATTCTGAAATTTTCAGGAGCCGTGGTCAGCTTCCCGCCAACTGGTAGTTTGGATTGGTGGTCCAGGATGGGGTTCCCATCTTTAGCAACAAGCAAGGGGTTCAATTCCCCAAACCACCAATCCAAACCACCAATTTCATGGTAACCTGGTGTGGAGTCCTTGTTGGCGTTTCGTAACAAACAAAAAGACACGGCGATCGCCATGAATCTGATTCGCTCGCCTCCTCCACCGCATGCTGCTCCCGCTCCTTGCGATGCCTCACCTGTCACGGGTTTGCGGTGTCCGCGCAGTTGCAACGGTATGGGAACCCTTTTTGACTGATCCAACTTCTATGTAGTGGGGGATCCCACCAAACGAAAAAGGATCCAAAGGGTGGAATCTGCGGAACCCCAAACAAGTTTGACACCCTAAACATCCCCAACGAAGGGAAAAACACTTAGTTCAAGCCCAAGTCCCATTCCATTGCCATGCATGTTCCTCCAAATTGTACCCACATTCAAGAATCATGTACTCGGAAGGGTTCTCTTGTTGCCCGTCCTACACTAGACAAATCTCCAAGAGATGTTGGCCATCAGCCTGTCACTTGCTTCACAGCTCCACTCAACCAGAAAGAGATCGCACTTTAGCCCCCACAACCAACCGGTTCAAGTCCACCTTGGGGTAATACAAAAACGAACCCTGACCAACCCAACCCAATTGCGGCACTCCAAAGCAGCCATCCCCTTCAGCCTGCAACTGAACCAGCCCCAAATTTGACAAGCGACCAGAAATGCCTGCGCCAACGCCAGCTGATGTGCTGCAGATTGAAAGGCAGCGTTTGCCGCGGCCATCTGCTCCTGACACTCTTTAATCCCCAACTCCTCAGAAGCCACCAGCCCAAAGTTCAGCCACTGGATCTTCCCACTTAGTGCCTCCCATTCATGGGCGATGGCTTTTCTCGCAACGAAGCTACAGTTCTGACTCGCGTTCTCCGTGTTTCGGATTGAAATCCAACGAAAAGTCGAAGAGTGACTTTCGGCAACCAGCGAGATTTGGGCTTGCCTCAAACTTCAGGTAGGCCGAATAAAACGACAGTGCCCACCAAAGGAACTGCACCCAGCCGCAAACAAAGCGACCCATCCGGAACGCAGGCATAGGGTTCCTCGCATCACACCAAGATAAAACTCAATCAAGATATCCGAGCCGTAGACTACCTGTGCCAAAAACTGGGGACGGTACAGGCGTTCTGCCATAGAATTAAGGTAAACCCAGACCCCAATACTGTTGATGTTCAAGCCACTTCCGAAGCAGCATGGTTGCAAGGGGACTAACCCATCTAAAACTTTGGTTGTGACATTCCTGTGCTGCCAGCCTTACAGCAGGTAACCAGGGCAAGGAATCATCATCGTCATCATCATCATCATCATCATAATCATCATCATCATCATCATCATCATCATCGTCATCATCATCATCAGCAATAGGTAGAGTAGCTACCGTGTTGCCTACGATAGTGGTTACCGTGTTGCCTACGATAGTGGCTTCCCTAGCATCACTACTCTACTTACGTGAGTTGAACATCCAACCAAGTAGGGCCTGGGGGCAAAACATACAATGGTCATTTGGGGGCAAACTGATGGGTGTTTTTCTTTTGGGGGGACCCACACCCAAAGATCAACCCCATGTCTGTCCTGGGCAACCAGCTCTTGAGCGCGGGAGGCGTCAAGTGCTTCTTCCAGCGTGCCGGCCTGCAGTTGGGAATCCTGTCGCGAGTGGTGAGTGACGGGAGGGAACCAACAGGTTCTCAGCTTCCCTCTTGGTGGTTTGGTTTGGATTGGTTTGGAAGTTACGGGGGTAGCTTCCCATTGACCCTCAATGGGGTTCAAAGCCCCCTTTCCACCAATTGAGGGGAACCTGAATGGCCTACTCTTTGAAAGGACATATTGACATGAAGAAACCGTATAATTGTTGCTATATTTGCACAAGTAACTCAGTCATATAATATCCAAACCACATTAGTCGGAATTTGAAAGGGCTAAGCGACAGAGGATCAACAATTTAGGCACCACACCTCCTTGATGGTCCATCAAACGACTGAAAAAGTATCACCACTGCTTCGAATCTTGGGGGGGGAAAAAAAACACGGGTGAGGAAGCGGCACCCTGCTTGTTGAGTGCAACAAAGAAACCAATACACTTCGCTTGGTGAGCTGTATTTTCGTTCTTTGCAAACCATCTCCAAGTCCAGGGCCGGCCCCTTGAGGGGTGTACTCCCGCCTTTCATTTCTTCAGCTTGAATCGCAGTTTGCAAACCACAGAAATGAAAATCATCAGTTTCGTGGTTTTTAGGGGCAATCAGAAGGAATCAGAAGGAACACACCAATCTGGGACCTGCAGAATGAAGGACATCAGTTACGCCAAGGTGGAAATTCCACGTTGGAGCGCTGCCCTCGGCCCAAAGGGAGAAGGAAAGCGCTAGCACTGACGGACATGTACCGAACCCGAGGCTTCTAGCCAGTAGGTTGCTGGTAACCGGGGGCAAAACATCATGTAACACCGAACAAAGTAAAATACCTGATTTGGCTTTGTGGCTGGCTGTAGTGCGTCGATGAGAACTCCGGCTGCTCATCCTGCAGACATTGTCCCTGGCTCTTCACTTTAGTGGGAGGGCCAATAGTCCTACAGACAGGTATGCCACGCAACTGGGCTTCTTTTCGGATTCCCTCTAAACCAACCCCAAGGTAACATCCGTGGATCCGGGAACAACCCGGGCTCATCCCAAGCGCGTCCTGCACACACTGGGCATGCCGATGAAGCAGTTGCTCCTCGTCATGCCGATGTCTTTATCACTGGATGGCTACATCTCCCCACACAAAGTCCAACTTGCTGTCGAGTGGGCTATGCTTGGTAGAGATACCGGTGACCAGCTATCCAGAGAGCATGAGGAACGAGCAAAAATTGCCCCAAGCGCAATCCCACAGTTGCTATCACGGTCACACCTCTTCCCTTTGAACGCGGGCAACGGCCCGCGAATCTCCCGAATAAGGCTAAAGTCCCAAGATTCAAAACACCAAGTTTGCGGGTCTAACATTTCAGGCTTGCTCAAGGGACAAGTTCAAGGGCTCCTTAGCCTCAAGTCTCAGGGAAGTGTAACGTGTTTCAAAGGTGAGGATCTTCACAGGGGACCCATGGTTAGGGTGGTACCCACAAAAGCGATCTGGACCCCGACTAAAGGACATCACCTGATCCCAATTAACTTGGGATGACAGTGCTGGGAACCCAGAATCTATAACCTCTGGTTGGGTTGGGAAATGGGCGTGTCTTTTTTCAGGGGCCCCCTCAAAACAAAAGGCGGTTTTCCAACAGCTGTGCCGCATCAAAACCGTTTTCCAAACGAGTTCATGACGTGTCAAAACTATCCTTCGGAAGTCCGCAACGAGAAGGCTCCTCAAGACATCCGCAGGATGTGTGCCTGTGGCTTACGAAGCTTCCAAAATTTGGGAGTGATTGTCCGCTCTTTCCAGAGTATTAGTGGCTATCTTGCCACCCAACGGCAAGCGGAGAGAGGCCGGTGAAGGGGGTCTGCTGTCTGCCTAAACCCACGGCACAGAATCAAGAGGGCTGAAACGTGCTGCATGAATTTCTGGCTGGGATGGACGCTTACTATGTTCGTGTTCCTAGAGTCTTCAGACCCTCACTCCAAACAGGGGAACGTTGCACCTCCGCGCAGTTGCACAAAAGGGGCGCAAGTACCAGGTACCCGGTCGTCCAGCAAGCCATGGCACTGCAATATGGGATGGATTGCAATCTGCAAAGGATTGACTTGAACAGGCAAAGCTTGCATAGTTTCATCGCAACAGCCAAGCTGACCATCGCAGGTCAAACAGCTACACCCAAACTGCACAGCGCACCACAGTTGAAGGGACATGGACATAGGTGGCCTCTTGGAAATATCGATGGGTTTCCCTTGTAAGTGCAAAAACAAACCATCCAAACAAGTGAACCCCCATCTAATTCTCACCAAACTAACCGATCAAACAAACGCCAAACGGTGGAGACTCCCAGCCGACCGCTTTTGATCTGGCTCCTTGCTCGCCAGAAGCTTGCGATCTGCGTGGATCTCCGCCTGCGCTCAAAATCGATTCCCTGAAACAAACATCTTCGTAAATTCATCGGGATTGGGGGGGAGGGAGGAGAGGGGGAAGGGAGCACAAATAAGCCCTTATTAAGCCCTGAATAAGGCCTTATTTAGGGCTTATTTGGGCTCCCTCCCCCCCTCCTCTCTCCCCAGCCCCAATGATAAATCGGTGCCAAAATCCATATCAACGGTCGTTGGACATGTGTTGCGTCATCGAAAACCGGTGCCCAAGATCAATCCCGCGAACTTGCCGTGGCGCTTGCTCGACTGGCAACGTGGGAGTTCACTGTGATTCACATGCCTGGATGATTACACCACCAGGTAAACCAGGAATCGCCATCTATTTTTAGAGCAAAACGACCAAAAAGGACACCTAGGGTCCATGCCCAACTCGGGTGGCTGGGAATGCAACATGGCTCCGCTCCCCTTTTTGCTTCTTAGAACGGGCTCCGAACAATATGTCGAATCCCAGTTGCCCAGTTGCCCAGCCCCCCTTGGGAGGACTGTATTGTTTTGACCAACGGGAAGCCCTCCGCTCGAAGGAACGGGTGTCACTGAACGCTTCACTTCGGAAAGTAGCAGAAGCCTGGCGGACCGTGACGAGTGCTTCCAAATCGATCAACAAGCACCCTGGACATGTGGCGGGGTTGACTTTGATATGCTGTCCAGGTCACTTTTTTGGGGTGGAACACTTCAACATGTGCAAACATCCGCGGTCAACGCACTGGACCTGGCCAAAGGAATTCGTCCCAAAAGGTCCCAACAATTTCTTGGCCTCCGAGCTGACATGCACACCCCGTGACACCACGTGCCATATCAAGTGGGGTGAAAGCGAACTTCCATGTGAATCTCACTTAGACAGCACCTGAAAATGAGAGACGCATCTTCTGTAATATTCAGACCAGATTTGTGGGAATTCCACCAAACCAAAAGGTTGCCACGCCGGGGCACAAGGTCAATTTCTGGGAACCTCTCAACATGGTTGCCATGTGGCGAACCTTTTGGAGCTTGGCTCCAAATTGAGCCATGGCAACTCCGAAGGGAGATGAGTCCTTCCGCTAGACAAGTGGCCATGGGTCAAAACCCCGTACCCCCAGTGAACATCCCAACCCCCACTAAACTAGACTAAAATGGGTGGTGCACCTACCCCAAAATGGTACCATTGGTGTTGACCCAGGGTCAAGTGAACTTGGAGGAAAATTGTGCGGATCTTTGGGCTATTCTCTGTCAGGGTCAATCCAATTGAAGAAAAGTTGAGCTCACTTGTTTTTTCTCCAGGGAACCCCTCCCCATTTCGCAGCCCCAACTCATGGACCCTAACTCAGAGGGGCTCCGACCGCTCAAGAATTTTCGTATCCCACCGGGGACCACCCCCCTTCGTGTCCTCCGGATTGATCTGAAGTCATTCCCAAGATCAAACCAACACATGGGAGCTTCCCAAAATGGCATTGAACCAGGGTGTTCGCGAGCGCAAGGCATTGAACTCAAACAATGGCAGGTGACGCGAAGCCCTCAGATTATCCAGGGCTTGTGTCCCCTAACATGACCTCAAGTCGATGTTTCAAGCACCCAAAAAGGGGCAATGATGAGCCAGCACAACGTTTCAAAGGTTAAGGTATCATGCCGAACAGCTCTCCAGGACGCAGTGGAAAACTCCCCTCCAAAACACGGAGCCAAAGCTGGCCCTGTCATCTTGGCCCACCAAAAAACACAATGTTCATGTTTCTGCTTCATATGCTTCTCAGCTTCCCTGCAACTTTCGTGGGTTGGATTTGTTGGGTTCAGGGCAGCCTCCCATCCCTCCACAAGAACCAGAAATTCAGCTCCCCAACCCCAACCACTTCCCATTAACCCTCCACAAGAACCAGAAATTCAGCTCAAACCAACCCCAACCAATTGTCCGGGACATTCGGGGACACCATAACTCGGTTGCATTCTGCTCCCCTGCCAAAAGTTTATGACTTTCAGTGGTTTCATACGGAAAACCCCTTCGTTGGCCACAAGTTCTTCAGTCCTAACCAAGCAAATGCACCAAAGAATCTAGGAGACGTGGCCATCCGCCTGCAGCGCCCTTCCTTCCTCCAGCAGCTGCCGATGTCGCTGCCGGAAGGTGGTCTCTGCGGCCACCCGCTGGAGCTCCTGTGCAGAGGCCGCGCTACGTGTTGCACGGAGGGGGGGGTCGAAGCTTGCCCCCAACAAGAACCGGAAGGGGAGGAAAAAAAAGGGCTCAAACAGAGGTCCCAGAAAAAAAAAAAAAAACAAGTGCATGAATGATGCCTTCGTGAGTATCTGAGGGAAGTATGCTTCACCCTTATACATTGGCTGCGTAGCTAGATTCGTGATAACTAGTGGAAAGCATCTCAGAGAAACTTGGTGCCCTAGCAAGGCCCCATGAATTTTGCTAGTGGGAAACACACACGTGTCCCAGGTTCAAAGATGCCACCAAATAGTAGGCAAGCAAAGAGTCTGTGCCTTCTTTTGAGGGTCGTCTTGTTGGTTAGAGCAAACCCAATGAAAACCACCCATTTGGAAAGCCTCGTGCCTCTTTAACGATATTTCTTGGTAGGGGGTTCATAGGTCTGCAAACGGCTATGTACCACTATGAGGGTATGTCCTGCCCAAACAAACGTGGAGGGGAATAACTATACCGACAAAACACGCGGCTCGCCCAGAAGCATCTTTATGGGGATGTCTGCCGCTGCCTTTAGGGTTTAGGTTTAGGGTTGTTAGGGTTTAGGTTTAGGGTTTTTAGGGTTTAGGTTTAGGGTTTTTAGGGTTTAGGGTATTTAGGGTTTTTAGGGTTTAGGTTTAGGGTTGTTAGGGTTTAGGTTTAGGGTTTTTAGGGTTTAGGTTTAGGGTTTTTAGGGTTTAGGTTTAGGGTTTTTAGGGTTTAGGTTTTTTTAAAGGGGTTTTGGGGTTTTTAGGGTTTAGGGTTTAAACCAAGACAGGGTGCTCCAAATCCAGGTTTCGACCCCCAAGTTTTTGAGGGAGTTCACCACACACAGGTCTACAAGCTCCCACGCCTGCCACGTTTTTTTAAGGGTCGGGGCGGGGGCGGTCGCAGACGTCGCGGGCAAGCGGGATGGTTTGGCCGTAACTATACATATTGGGCTTGCATCATAGGACGGACCCCCCCCAAAGTGACGGCCTTCCTGTGGGTGTCAAGTACAGTGAACATTTCGAGGTTCTCAAAACTAGCTGAGGTCAGAAACACCGTGAGTCTAGAGGCAATTGTTCAAACATGTCACTTTGCTGGGCGCAGTGAAGAAACCGCCCGGGTGGGTTCCGGCGTCTATGCTGCCTACTGGTGGTGACCAAACATGTTGCATCTGGTTTTCGAATGGGGGGTTCCTTTGGTAAGCTGCGAGCTACTTTACTCATAGCCGAAGCCCAGGTGGGTTTGGGTTTGAGTTGGTGGGTCTTGGATCCGTTTTCTTCAAAATTAACTTCCTGTTTGTGGGCTAGCGTGCCGTGTTGATGGGTTTGGCGTGCCTTGCTTTTGTTTCTTTGTTTGCATGCTGGTGGGTGGCTGCACCCAATTTTTTGTGTGTGACTGTGGGCCGGATTCGGTCTCGTCGTGTCTTGGGGGGGCTCGATCCCATTCCGTGCCGCGGACTCGCCCCTCCCGAAGTGTCCATGGACGAGCGCACAAAATCTATCGGCATAGAGAATGACCGGTTTTGAGGTCAATCACATGAAGTCACAGGGGGACTTAGGGGGACTTCAAAACAACACAGTGGCCTATCTTGAAATGCGGAAAGACACTTGGTGCATTTCAAGTGGAAGGCCGCGCAAATGGTTGGGCTTGCCTCAAAACTGGATGCAACGACTCCCCACACATTTTTCCGGGGAGTGTTGCCGGGATCGTGCAGCAGAGTCAATCCATTTTGGGCATCCTTCGGAAGCCCCAAGTTCCCCTGTTGAAACACGGGTCAGCAAAAAGCCAAGCCCTTTTGGACAAGCTGCGGGGCAAGATGGGTACAATCGTTGCAACCCTGAAAGCGGAAAAGGCTTGTAGTTGAGGGTTGTCTTCCAAACTTTTGTCCACGGGTGCTTCCCCAACAAGCGATCACCCAGCCTCAACTAGTCCAAAATATGTTGGATCTAATGACCATGGTCATGACCATCAGGTTGCTATCCCCAGTCCCTTCCCTGACTCACTTGACGTATCCAACTTCCCGAACTCGGCGATTCGATTCCGTCCTGATCTTTACCCTGGAGCTCGCGCTGCCTCTCCAGCTCCTGCCAAGCTCTTGCAACACATAGGGCCTAAATCAGGGGGTTCATGGGATAGGATCATAGAATCACTGCTAAGAGTCCGCAAAAGGGGTCCCCCAACAGTTAAGCGCTTAAAAGCAGCAAAACTGCACATTGAGTGCGGGGGGGTAAACATTGGGAACCCACGACTGGATCCTATGATTGAGTGGGGGTTGGTATACCCTGGGACACCTAATTTAAAGGTTTTTCGTGGAATTTGGGCAACACCTTCAAATTAGGATGTGTTTTGGAGTATTTGAGTAGCATTTGAGTAGCATTTGAGTAGCATTTGAGTAGCATTTGAGTAGCATTTGAGCAGATTCGACCAAAATCTTCAAATTAGGATGTGTTTTGGAGTATTTGAGAGCATTTGAGTAGCATTTGAGTAGCATTTGAGTAGCATTTGAGCAGCATTTGAGCAGATTCGACCAAAATCTTCAAATTAGGATGTGTTTTGGAGTATTTGAGAGCATTTGAGTAGCATTTGAGGAGCATTTGAGTAGCATTTGAGTAGCATTTGAGCAGATTCGACCAAAATCTTCAAATTAGGATGTGTTTTGGAGTATTTGAGAGCATTTGAGTAGCATTTGAGTAGCATTTGAGTAGCATTTGAGCAGCATTTGAGCAGATTCGACCAAAATCTTCAAATTAGGATGTGTTTTGGAGTATTTGAGCAGCATTTGAGTAGCATTTGAGTAGCATTTGAGCAGCATTTGAGCAGATTCGACCAAAATCTTCAAATTAGTATGTGTTTTGGAGTATTTGAGTAGCATTTGGGTCATCATGCCAATTGTCCATAGCCCCAGGTGATACTGCCGACCTTGAACATGAAGTGGCAGCATCAAGGTTCATGTGCCCAGAGAAAAAATGTAGCAAATCTAGCTTTTTAGTCACTATTTGAGCAATATCCATTTATGTGGCAAAAAGAGTTTAAATAGCGCTTTTTAGGTACCATTTGAGCAAAGAGCACATTACTTTTGGGGGACCCCTTTTGGGGACTCTTAGCAGTGATTCTATGATAGGATACCTAAAAAACAAGTATTGCTTCCAGATAATCATATAGAAGTTCCAAAGGAGAGGAGAACAAGTATTACCCTCCCCCAAACTAGCATGGAAGCTCCTAGGACCTCTTTGAAAGACTTGCCTCCATTTAGAGAGGCCTTCTGGGAGCTTCCATGTTAGTCTGAGAGAGTGTACTGCACATTTCACAAAACAAAAACAAAACAGCTGAAATAAGACTTAGATCCCCAAGCAAACGAGGTCAGAAGGTAAAAAACTGGAATCCCAATCAGATTTCCAATAGACCCCCCTTACAGTCAGAAAACTGAAGAGGCCAAACCCCGTGGATTTCGAGAAGTTTGAGTCAGGAGTTGTAGTTAAAACGGGCTGACAGTTTGCCTCTGCTATCATTGCATAGACTTCTGAATCTTTTTGATCGCGAGCTCGCCTGCGAAGTGGCTGGCGTTACTCCGGGAAGGCCCCGGGGTCCCAAAGGGGGTCATTCTTTCTCTTGTGGCCAAACCGAAATGACTTGGTTGACGTGGGTTTGGGGAGCAACAAAAAACAAATAGCAGTGATCGAAGTGGATTTGGATTTCAACCACTAAACCACAATAAGCAAAAAAGGTGTAAAATGTTTCCCAACAACAGCCATGAATGCGGGAATACCCACCCTTCCTCTTGCAAACAGAAGGCAAACAAAAAGGAGGATACCTGGCAGATTCGTTTCCTCCTCAAGGGACCCTCTGGGGAGGGTACTGTTGAAAAACAGGCTCCTTTTTGACTCATCTTGACCTTTAAAGCTGTCCATGATGGGAAACCATAACTGCAAACCAGGGCCTGTAGAGTTGACACCCCCTTGAGAAAGGGACCCCCAAAAGGGTGAAACCAAGGGCCAGACTTAGACTTTCTGCAACAAAGCACATATTGCTGGTTAAGAGGTAATAAAAAGAACCGCGACTCCATGCAAACAACAGACAACTTACTGTTGCTTAAATGGGGGAAATGACGGAAACCCAAAAGGCAACATAGCGACAAGCTGAGCAGCGTCCGACCATCAAGCTAGGAAACAACGAACCCACTTCGCGCGGAATCTTTTGTTTGGGGTGGGGGACACCCACGCATCCAGGAAGCTAAGCCAAACGCAATCCATGAAAGAGTGTTCTTGTGCCCTTGAGACACACACCTCCAATTAAAGTGTTGCCTGCCAAAACACGAACGACACAAACCTCCCATTAAAGCGTTGCATGCCAAAACAGACCACTTGGGCCCGAACACCTGTATTTCTGACTTCGTGGGAATTTCCAGACTCCAAGTTTGCCGTATCGCTTGTGCGAAAGCCCTGGCCACACCTCAAGGACTGTCGAGCGAAGCGGGATGTGGACATCTGTCGATCCCATAAATTCTGAAGCTTGATGTCCCATGCTCACCCATCCTTATAGAGAAACAAGGAAACCACGACATGTTCCTGGTTTGGCCCATTTATTGGTATATGGCGTTGAATGGGACACGAGGAAACCAGCAGAGTTTTTTGGTCCACAACCCACAGGCCACCCTCAGAACATATCTCGCTTGCGCTTCCCCGAGCAAAAGCGGTCGTTTGGAGGATATATATTTTGAAAAGCCCATTTGTCCCGAAGGGTTCCTCTCGCCCTTCGGTGGCACCCCAAGGATGGCCTCTCAATATCTGACATCCCCCAGTGCCACCTGCCGCAATCGGCAAAGAAGCGCTTGGTCCCGCCTGAAGCCGCTTTTCAGCTCCTTGCAGCTCCTCCCGCAAGGAGTCCCTGGACCGAAGCGACAGAATCCGCGAACAGCACAGGCGTCAACACGGGAGACACTCCTCAAATGTTGGAGCCGTCCTCGTGGTTTCTCGTTCACTCAACAGAACACATTGAATGGAGATGTCAACAACACATTTCCACAGTTCGATTTCCGCCCCGAGGCCAAGCGTGAGTTTCAACGCATTGCTTGGCCTTTCAACGCATTCCCAGTGCCAGCCGTAGGCCGTAGGCCAAAGGGAAATGAACCAACTTGGAAGAACAAGATGCTGGTTTCCTGCGGCCAGCCGAGAAGCACTGGGCTTTGTGTCCGATTCAATTTGGGACCGAAAAGACGGGGCCAAACAACGCATCCCTAATCGCTTATCCCTAAAAAAAAAACACCCCCCCCAAAAAAAGAAGAAGACGCAGCACTGGGCCTAGATCCAGTTGATAGTGTGCTGTTTAGTGTTGGACTTGTATTGGAAAGTGGAACTCCTTTGATTTGGAGCAACAACTGCTCAGATTGCAACTTTTAAGTAAGAACCTCGAAAGGGACTGTCCCATGGTGAGTTTGGTATTGGTTTAGTGTTGGCCAACTTAAATTTCGTATTGCCGATTTTTTGCCGCGGCTTGGGGGAGGTTTATTCGGGGTAGGTTGATTAATACGAAGAAGTGATTAAGGTCGCTTGATCGGGTCCCACGAAGAGGACAGAGGCCTCACAAGCCTCGTGTATGGTTTCCTTTTGGAGTTGATACTTAGGGCGGCAACCTCCAAGCATCGTCCTCTTTTTTTAGTGGTACGTCAGGGCTTTGCCATACAGATTGTCTCTTTCCAGTTTGAAGGTTCTGAGTACAGTCTCCGACATGCGAATCTGCTCTTTGAAGCAATTGACATGTCGAGGATATTGCGCGTCCCGGAAGACAAATATCAAAGTTTCTTGTATCCATACCATGCCTGGCCATGCTCACACACTGCGAAGCCAATACAACAACAGCACAACACAGTACTAAGCAATGCTAAATCGATAGTATGTAAAACCCCTTTCTACCAGCACAGCTGACTGAGATTGACTGACGCCCCAAACCTTAATGACGTCCTTTTCCAGAAAGAAAATAAAACAAACGCTGCATAGTGAGACTGATTCAACAATAATCCAGTAGGCAAAGACTTCGCGGACTGAAGTCTCCGTGACCCGCTGTAAGAGCTGTCATGAAACCAACCGTCAGTTGGTATTGTGTTAACGACACAGTACACACTGCGAACAACATCACGACATATCGGACTCTATAATACTCAAAAGCCATATTCAAACGATACAATGTGATGGATCAAACTAACGTTGCGTCATGCGTGCTACATACAGCATAATATCATACTACACCTAGTTGTTGTGTCTTGATGTCAGATGTGCATGAGGCATATAGATGATTGCTATATTATACATTACATTCCTTAAAATAATCCGGAACATTTACATGCTCCGGGGCGTGATACTTTTCAAGGTGCTTTCTAACAAGGTTCGCTTATACTCATGCTCATTCCCTTTTGTCTTATCTCTCTGTGGGTTTTCATCGCGTCGACGGAATCGCTGCGATCAAGCTATCCGAGTCACAGCGTCACACTTGCAATCTGCCAGGAACACTCTGAGCCGGGCTGTTTGCCAAGCCAACTCCTTCCCTGTCAAACAAACAATCAACAAGATTCCTTTTATAGCCCTGTGGGAAAATTTCTTCAGGACCACTATGAACAGCCCAGCCAACTTTGTTGCAGACGCACGGAGCAAGAGTGCAGCAACTTCGGACCGGGGAAAAACCTCCTTCCCCAGGGTTGCCCGGGGGAAGCAGTTGCCCTTACAGAGTTGCTGGACAAAACAAGTCCGAACTTGGTCCCAACCCAAGACTTCAAGTCCAGGAACGGAAGTGAGAAATCTACGCGAGATCTGGACAGGCTCATAAGCCGCCCAATTGGGTATTCGCCGCCGACTGTAAGAAACTCCCGACTCCTTGCGTTTCCCTTCGCGAGAGGCTTGAACTTCCTGTTCGAGGCAGTGAGCATCTTGGCTAACTTGGGCCTTTGTGAACCATGTCCTCGAGCAACAATTCTCAAATGTTGGCAGCCAAGAGGTTGGATTTCGACCACTCAACCACAATAAGCAAATATGTGAAAACTGTTTCCCAACAACAACCGAGCTTTGGGCCCGTTTGAATGCAACATTTGCCCAAGGCAAAAGGCGAAGGAAGCCGGTTGCCACGTGCCGCTGATGTGACTTGATCTTTCAGAAACGGCTTACAGCAACCTCGCCGATCGAACAAATGAGACACGGGGAATGAACCATCCTAAATGAATCATCAACACCTGGTACCTCGCTGTCCAGCATTTGTTGGGGTTGGGCTGACACATGTCAAGCAACCTGGCACTGGCAGGGTCGAAGGGCTTGGCCGAAAAATCGAAGTGCAATTCAAAGTAGCCCCACAATAATTGGCATTGAACAGTGCGGCGGAATGCATGGGCTTTCAGCAGCAC